GGCTCTCGTGGCCTGGAAGTTAAGGTGTTCGCCTCTCATTCAGATGTCCAGGGTTCGAATCCGGGAAGCGACGGGAAAAATATTCTCTAAAATTCACCTCCTTTCCTGCTCTCTTGCAATGTTCTGTCATCTGCTTTCGTCTCCCCTTTCTGCCCCTTTTCCCTCACCTCCTATGGGCTCCTAACTCTTTCTGCAGCCTTTCTACTGCCACTCCTTGGCTCCTTCTTACTGCTGTCTTTCAGCCACACCCCTGATCTTCTGGTAGGAAATATCTACACCTAGCCTTCTCGGCGAAAAATCTCGGAGGTCCCGTGTGCAAGTTGTACACGTTAAAGATCTCTTGGTGGTCTAAAATCGATACGATTTAGATCAGTTAAAGGTGGTTTTTGGCCTGCCAGTCGGGATCAACTCATGTTGAAACAGAAACGTCCCAGAAAAAAGATGAAAATACTCAATATAAATCTTCCCCGCCCCCATCCCCCCCCCCACATGAATCACAAAAGCAAACCAAGAGCTCCTATTTTTTCACATAGCAAATAGTAAGCCCGAGGAGCTGTGGCATCGGATCCAAACAGAACGTATTTACAGGGTTTATTTGTTTTTTACAATCATCCCCCCCAAAAAAAACAACAAAAACAAAACAAAAAACAAACAAACTCAGAACAAAACCAAAGAAGCAACAAACAAAACAACGTCGATAACTCGCCCAGCGAGCGCGTCTATAGTAGGCCATGAAGCAACAATGACACTTAAACGTGAATAGAAAAATAAAACAAAACCGTAATTCCCAATGCCACAATGGGGATAAAATCCTAGTGACGCCTTCGATTTTACAGAAATGTCCATATTATGATAATGACGCTGCACAATCAAACCATCAGGCGAGTTATGAAGCCAACAAAGAAAGGAGGAACGCCATCATCATGACAACGTCCAATACAATAAAAATTTAGGCCAACAACTGACTTGGACAAGCTAGTCAAAGAGGGGATAAATCTGAAATGAAATGGTAGCTCATCAGCGTATGTGAGTAAAAAAATAACTGTAGAGAGTAACACAAACTACCAGGAGGCATTTAGTTTATACAAATGCAGCACAACAGAAGTGATGCCACAAGCAAAATGATTGGCTATACCTAGAAAATGGAAAGTCATGATTGGAAGATTTGAAACATATTATACAGTAGGTACAATTTCATGCCAGATTAAGTTATACGAGAAGTTATTATGTCTGATTCAGATTATACACCGACAATATATTATAATGACGATGAAGAGATAGAAAAGTTGATGGAGCTGTTGTCCATTTAAAGAGATCAATCCACCTGAACCCACCAAATAACAACAAAATTATGGGCGACCTCAATGCAAAAATTGGACTGAAACAGA